AAAGCAAAGGAAAAGCGATTACAGCAAATATGCAAGTTTCCTAAAGGACACAGGGAGCGAAAATGCCAAGACCTAACTTTGCCAAATGGAGTTATTTTGCCCAAGTGTTGGGTCTTTTCTTGCTCGGTAGACCTTCAGCACTTGGAAAAACACACCAAAGCAAAGGAAAGACGATTACAGCAAAAATGCAAGTTTCCTATAAGACACATACAGCGAAAATGCCAAGACCTAACTTTGCCAAATGGGATTATTTTGTCCAAGAGGGGTCTTTTCCTGCTCGATAGACCGCCAGCACTTGGAAAAACACACCAAAGCAAAGGAGAAACGATTACAGTAAATATGCAAGTTTCCTAAAGGACAAATACAGCGAAAATGCCAAGTGTAGTCCTGCAATAGGAATTGGTGCGACTGGCCTATAGTTCAATGGAGTTATTATTGTTCATGCGCTTCTAATAAATACAAGAGTTCATAAATTTCTTTTCTTACAAAAACCACAAACAGTAAAAACCAAATAGGCTTAGGCCTATATATACATCGAAGTAATCAGGAGTACAGAAGACGAACGAAGCGAATATACAAATGAAGCGATTAACTGAAATATATAAAATATATCAGAAATAAGTGATATGAACAATATCTGATTGAAGGGAGACAACCCTCATATAACAATATTCTAACAAGCCAGACCACAATTAATCTATGCAACCAAAAGCCAAAAAGTACAAAACGGGTGCGAAACGAAGTAATTCTAAGCATCCCTATAATGCGAACGAAGTAAATCTAAGCATCCCAATAATGCGAACGAAGTAAATCTAAGCATCCCAATAATGCGAACGAAGTAAATCTAAGCATCCCAATAATGCGAACGAAGTAAATCTAAGCATCCCAATAATGCGAACGAAGTAGGCCTAAATCTAAACATCCCAATAATGCAATCTACATACATCCCACTAATGTACTCTAAATACATCCCAATAATGCAATCTACATACATCCCAATAATGCAATCTACATACATCCCAATAATGTACTCTAAATACATCCCAATAATGTACTCATATATAATATAGAACTATACATCCCAATAATGCAAGTTACGAACGAAGGCGAATGAAAACGAATCGAAAGGGCTTATTATGGCTCACGAAGCAAGGTAGATTTGACAACTAAAAACCTATCCGAAAGCAATGAAATGCATACACAATGTTACAAAATATACAATAAAACAGTCATTACCAAATTTGTTGTTCTCCATAGTCTGAATTCCTAATTGCAAAACATCGAAAAACGAAATGGTCCAACGTAAAGAACTGTATTTTCCCACAAACCGGAAAACGTGCGAATTATAGTCTCGATTATTTAGACGCTATTTTTAGAATTGAAGGCAAAGTTCGTTTTGAACCCTACAAGAATATTACTTTGCATAAATAGAACATTTTTTCAACACTATTCACATTGCATAGCGTGCACACCCTTTCATTGTACGGAACGTTTTCCCATTTACTCTTTAATACCATCAGCCTGTTCTAAATTTACATAACATGGTTTTATATTTATAATACAAGAATGTATTTATCAAATACAATTCAGACTCTAAATTAATTCATATTATGAATAATATTGCAATCCTAATGGCGAAAGATGATAAGCTGAAAATTGCCACAAACGGTCCGCCGAGAAATCGGCAAATATTTGCCGACCTTCTGCGTAGCTTCGCAGATACGTTTGAATGCACTTTTGGCGACAAAAAGTCGTGAATGCATCTCTACCAATTTCACTGCAAGCCCGGCGAACCTTCTGCATTAGCCACTGCGAAGCATTGAAATTGTCAACGTTTTATCTTCGCCATTCTTGCAAATCATCGCAAAGCCCAGTTGGACTGAGGTTTTTATATACCAACTGCAACATGTCGGGGAATATTCGGCTAAGTTAAGCGATACCTTTGAAATGGTTAGAGGATAATCGCCAAATAGTTCAGAAAATTCTCAAACATCGCCAATACAACGCTGAAGATTTTCAGATATATCGGCAACAGTCGCCGTCAATCATTGACGATTAATCTCGGTCATGGTCAGCAGATCGATCGCAGATTATCGGCGAGCATCGCATACTTGTCGCTTAATATTGCAGATTCATCTCCGTTCCACTATTTCTATAATTTTGTCGCTGTATATCGCAAGACATCGCAAAACTTTTCCACGTTTCCCCATTGCAAGACCATCACAGATTCCTAAATTCTCAGTGGGACTGGGGCTTTTAAGGCTCTAGACTAACTAGAGTAAAATAAATATTTTTTGTTTAATGATCAATACAGTATAACAATAATGTAACATAGGCTTACCTATCTCAAAGTTGTCAATTTATATTATGATAAATAGAGGAAATATACCATTTTATAAAATACATTGATAAATAACTCCAACTTCAAGTGGGTTATATCCTATTAGTAAGATTGTCTTTTAAAATAGAAGTGAACTTAGAAGAGGAGCACGTTAAACAGCGTTCCGGTGCACTTTTTCTCATTATCCTTTCTAACACAGCAAGTCCTGTCTGAACAACACTGAGTTAGTCTGCTATATTTGTACCCCAAATCAAGTATAACAATAAAATAACTTCCCCTATCTGGTATCTTTTTTTTTTGAACTTGTATGCATTTATTTTTATCATTTAGGCTATGACTGTTATAATTGGAAATTGTATGCTATATATTTCAGATCAGGTGACAGATTAACATATGATATAATAATCTTATATGCTTGTAACAGTGTGTCAGCTTGTTGACGCCTATTATGTTTAACAAACGGCTTTCCGTAGTTGTTACTAAAGGAATGTTGATTATCATCATAATTTTGATTATCAAAGCTACAGTTATAGGTGAGTTTCAAGATGATATACAAGAATTATATAATTTCTTGTGTTTTTTTCTCGACAAGGCAACTTGAAACACTGGCCAACAAAAGCATCCAGCAATACAATACAATACTGATTAAAAGGAAAGTATGACCCAGCTGAGGTAAAACGCTGATACAGGCCATGCTTGTCATTTAAATTTTTTTCAGGTAGTACTAATACAAGTACATTATGTTATGGAGCACCTGGTCAAGCATGTACAACTCACAGACTATCTTGTCCTATTCCTCTAGTGATACAGATAATAAATACATCATATGGATATAGATCAGAATGTAAAGATATTCAAGGTTTATCTGCATGTACTAATACAACATGTTGTAATGAAGAACTGGGTGATTGTTTTCAACCATTTTCATGTGATAATCTTCAACAAGTTACAGGAAATTGCAGTGGATTAAATACTTGTACTATAAATGGATTTCGTGAGGTTCATGGTAAAGAATGTGGTGGATCTGTTAGTGCTTATAGTAAAATACAATATGATTGTGTAACTAAAGGTAATGTTGAAATTGTTTAATTACTTTGATAGTATATCCTATGACATACACTTTCCAGAATGCACTTCGCACACAGGGCGACAACTTCAACTCCACAAAACTAAGTGCTTGACTACGTCACTACTTGCGAAGGGCCTTGTGTGATATAGCGTATTTTGCGATTAGTGACGTCATCAAACTCTGATTGAAAATTGGAATGGAATGCCCTCAGTGTCCCCGATACTAATAATTTTTTTTAGAAAACCTCTTTACAACCCCTTTATCTATAAGTTCTACATCTGGTTAATTGATTTAAACTTCATAGTCTTTGTATCTCTGTATTTATCAAATGATTCTATTCTAATTTATTTTGTAGATTTTTATACAACAGCTTCTATGATCGATTCTTCTCTACTCGGTAAATACAGTTTTGTGTTTATACTGACGATTTACAACCTACAACATAATGTTTTAATGTAATAAGCGACATTGATCGCCATTTAAGAAGTAATAAATATACGTTCTTTTCTCAACGTTCTGCTACATTGAGGTTTTTAGATGTAAATGCAGTGTATATATTACTGTTATCATTTCTATTTTAATTTGTAGATAATTCTACAACAGATTTTATGAGATATTCTACATCACACGGTAAATAAAGTTTTATACTGACAGATTATAACTTAATGTAATAATGTTATAACCAACATTGATTGCCATTTTAGAAGAAGGTTTTTAGATTTAAGTTATTGTAATTATTTAAAGGAATTGTAAAGATGAATTCTAAAAATAATTTATGTGTATCGCGGATACCTATATCATCAATTTGCACCATTCAAATTTTCAATCAGTCGTCTGTGGTTCCTGTAATTGCACAAAAACTAAGTGTTTGATGACCTCACTAATCGCGAAGGGCTTTAATATGTGATATAGTATCTTTTTGGATTAGTGACGTCATCGAAAACTGACGTCTGATTGAAAATTGGAATGGTGCTAATAAATTTCATCAGTGTCCCCCATACACATATTTCTTTTTATTAGAAAACCTCTTTACAACACCTTTATCTATAAGTTCAACAAGTTTATTACTTTAAACTAAAAGTCTTTGTATCTCTGTAGTTATCAAATGATTCTATTCTAATTTATTTTGTAGATTTTTCTACAACAGCTTCTATGATCGATTCTTCTCTACTCGGTAAATACAGTTTTGTGTTTATACTGACGATTTACAACCTACAACATAATGTTTTAATGTAATAAGCGACATTGATCGCCATTTAAGAAGTAATAAATATACGTTCTTTTCTCAACGTTCTGCTACATTGAGGTTTTTAGATGTAAATGCAGTGTATATATTTAATTATAATCTTTATATTTTAGGAGAAGTAGGAAAAACTTTTAACATCAAAAACTTCGTAAATTATACCCTGAGAATATTTCTAAAATATTTTATTTACATTTATGTATCTTCTTGATCAAACCTAGTTTGTTTTAAAAGGGTTAATAACAACAGAGCATATTAATTGTTAATTTTCGGTGTTCGGCTTCATAATAGCTCGATATAATTAGTTGAAACATTCAGAATACTGAATTTTCAAGTTAGTATGTTGAATTTTCAAGTTAGTATGTTGAATTTTCAAGTTAGTATCTTGAATTTAGTAACTTGAATTTTCAAGTTAGTATCTTGAATTTTCAAGTTAGTATCTTGAATTTAGTAACTTGAATTTTCAAGTTTGTATGTTGAATTTTCAAGTTAGTAACTTGAATTTTCAAGTTAGTAACTTGAATTTTCAAGTTTGTATCTTGAATTTTCAAGTTTGTATCTTGAATTTTCAAGTTAGTATCTCGAATTTTCAAGTTACTAACTTGAAAATTCAAAAAAAAAAAAAAAATGAATGGCCCTGATACGCTTCCGTATGCTTCCGTATAATAGTCTTTCTTGGTAGTTTTCAAATAATTTTATTCAAATTTGTAGATACTTCTATAAAAACTTCTATGAGTGATTCTACTCCACACGGTAAATCAAGTTTTATATTTATACTGACGATTTACAGATTATAACTTAATGTAATAATGTAATAAGCAACATTGATTACAATTTTAGAAGTAATAAATCTATGTCCTTCATCGTCCAGCTACAAGGAGGTTTTTATATGTAAATGTATTTATTTAACTATAATCTTTACCTCTAGTCCATTGATTTAAACTTGATAGCCCTGTGTCGCTGTTGTTATCATTTCTATTTTAATTTGTAGATTATTATACAACAGATTTTATGAGATGTTCTACATCACAAGGTAAATAAAGTTTTATACTGACAGATTATAACTTAATTAAATAATGTTATAACCAACATTGATTACCATTTTAGAAATAATAAATCTATGTCCTTTTCTCATCGTCCTGCTACAATGAGGTTATTAGATGTAAATTATTGTAATTATTTAAAGGAATTGTAAAGATTTGTTCTAAAAAAATGTTTATGTGTATCAAGGATACCTATATCAATTTGCACCATTCCAATTTCCAATCAGATGTCTGTGGTTCCTGCAATTCCACAAAAACTAAGTGTTTGATGACGTCACTAATCGCGAAAGGCTTTGAGTGATATAGCATAAATTTTCAATTAGTGACGAACACTGACGTCTGATTGAAAATTGGACTGGTGAGAATTGATGCCATCAGCGCCAGTAGGTTACCTCACTTGACTCACCGTTTGTGTACATCTACAATATAAGTGGTCTAAGTCCAACAAAGGGAAGTAAGTTATTATTAACTTAACTAATCTCCTCTGGGTTTATCGTTTGTTATTATTTGTTTATTAAAACCATTCTCCACCAGTATTTGTGCTTTAATGGCATTGTGCTCCAGACTGGCGTGGTGGCCTACGCTGGGATTTACCTACCTCGAAGTATTTTATCAAAGAAAAGAGACAGTCTTAAACGGATCGAAGGACACAATACTTACACCATTCGCATTTGGAAAAGCAACTCAATTGTAAGTAAATTGCTGTTACTGGTGAGATGGCGAATATACGCACACCAAAACAGTGGGCTCTAACAAAATAAGAGACAATTACTTCATTCGAAGCCCGGAGACAAAATTTACAATATATCTTGTCACTAGATCAAAATTTCGCATCATACCTTGTTGATGGTGTCACATGGGAAAAGAAAACGGCTACTACACCTAAAAGAGGATTTGTATCTGATGGAGAGAATGTACCAGAGGCAAGAAGAAGAACAGATGATCAAACAGTCACTCATTTAGAACTTATACTCGGACAGATAGCGAATTACTGCCCAGTTATTTCCAGAAATACCATTGTCAAAAATTTAACATCCTTAACACAGATTTGGTAAGCAATTCGTTTACATTACGGATTTCAGCTCACATGATCCCATTTCCTGGATTTTAACGGTATTTCCCTTAATCCCGACGAGCGCCCTGAAGATTTGTACCAGCGTCTAATCTCCTTTATAGAGGACAATTTACTTACCACAGCCGGAAGGATATCACATCATGGTTCTTTTCCAACGTCTGATGAAGAATTAACTCCTTCTCTTGAGAATATGGTCGTCTTGGCAAGGTTGCGCTTAATTCATCCAGATTTACCAAAATTGGTCAAACAACGATACGGCACTGAACTTCGGTCACAGACATTAGCCACTTGAAACCAGAAATATCAGTAGCACTCGATTCCTTATTGGACGAACTTCACACAACTGCAGATGCGAAAATACTAAGAACCACCACCAAGGATTCGTTGACGTCATATAAAACTACGCAAAATAGGTCACAATCACTCAGACAATCGACAAAGATTTGTCCCCTTTGCAAACAATCTGGGCGATCTAATTATCAACATTTTTTGAGCCAGTGTCAATTCCTCCCCAGCGCAGACAAAAACTTTATGTCAAAAGCTCGCCATGCCATCTGTCTCGAAGACACCCAGTCAATATCTGACAATGCCACATCAGACGTTGAAGAGGGACTAACAACAGATAGGTCTAATCACAATATTTAACATGTCGTGTTATCACTAGACAATCGCCTTATATACCAGCTTTCTACGAGCACTATTGTTTACAACTTACATTAGATACAGGTGCTGAAACGAACTTGGTCAAACTCTCAACCGTCCATAATATGGGACTCAATATATCTAAAACATCTCAGTGGGCTCTCCAAGCTGGTGGAATTGCACCTTTAAAGGTTTTAGGTGAAATACATACCACTCTTTCCTACGACAATAAACCGCTTCGCTTGGACGCCTTAGTTGTGGATGAATTGGATGTTGATGTGTTAGCTGGAACTTCATTTATGTCTTGCAACGACATCTCTGTACGACCTTCAACACGCGAGATTTCATTGCATGGTATCGTCGTTTATCAATATGGTGATATCAAATCATGTAAAGACTCATCAACCATACGCAGAACCCAAGCATATGTTTTACGCACATCATCACAGACAGTAGTTTGGCCAGGGGACTTTCTTGAAGTTTGTCTGCGCCCGGAACTACAAAAAGACCAGTATGTTGCTATAGAGACAAGAACAGATACCTCATCGTCTCCTCATACAAAGTTGTCTCGAACTTGGCCTCAGTCTAACATTTTACCAACCGTAGCTGGAAAAGTGCGAATCCCTAATCTTTCTACTGAACCCCATTGTATTCGTCGAAATAGTCATTTTTGTCAAGTACAATCTGTGACGTCAGTTCCTACCAATCCAGTTGAAATAACTTTAGCTACCCAGTCTCATACCACAAAAGTCATCACCAATTCTCAAGCTGTTCGTCTAAACCCCGATTCAATTTTAACCCCCTGTTAGCATCAGCAATTTCAGAATGTTTTGACTGAATATGATCATGTCTTTGACTCCAAAATATCGGGATATAATGGCGCTGTAGGACCATTCGAAGCAGTAGTGAACATGGGCCCTGTTGAGCCTCCACAAAGGAAGGGTCGTGTTCCACAGTATTCTAAAAACAAACTTTACGAATTACAAGAGAAATTCGATCAACTAGAATCCATGGGTGTTTTTAGAAAACCTGAAGAGCTAGGACTTACTGTTGAATACTTGAATCCTTCATTTCTTGTGAAGAAGCAGTCTGGTGGACATCGATTGGTAACTGCCTTTTCAGATGTCGCTCGCTATAGCGCCATCTCTTATGCCTAATATGGATTCGATTCTGCGCACCATTGCTTGCTGGGAATACATTATAGTTACCGATTTGACTAATTCTTTCTACCAGATTCCTCTCTCGAAAGCCTCTATGAAGTATTGCGGTGTTGCCACTCCTTACCGTGGTATAAGAGTGTACACTCGTTCGGCTATGGGTATGCCGGGATCTGAGACAGCATTGGAGGAGTTGATGTGTCGTATTTTGGGAGATTTACTACAGGAAGGCGCTGTCACGAAACTCGCTGATGACCTTTACATTGGCGGTAACTCACCCGACGAGCTCCTTCGCCGATTCCAGCGAACTCTTCAAGCCTTAAGTGTGTGTAATATGCGACTTTCTGCTTCAAAAACTATTATATGTCCGAAAGATACTACTATATTGACTCTGCGAGTCCCCATAGAATTTCTACCTTGTCTACTACTCAACCACCTGAGAATGTTCGTGGTCTTAGAGCATTTATAGGAGCATATAAAGTTCTTATGCGTGTCATCCCTAACTGTTCCAGTTTTATAAGAACCTTGGATACTGCCATAGCTGGCTTACAGTCAACAGATAAAATACCTTGGACCGGTGATCTTCGTGCCCAGTATACGACTGCTCAGACTGCTCTCACCACCAATAAGAGTATCCTGTTACCACGTCCATCCGATCAACTCTGGATAGTAACAGATGGTTCCATCAAACAAAATGGCATCGGCGCAACCCTATATGTTACAAGACAGTCCCATATGTACCTGTCGGGTTTCTTCAGCGCAAAACTTCATCAACGCCAGGTTACTTGGTTACCCTGTGAAATAGAAGCGTTGTCAATAGCTGCCTGTATCGAACATTTTTTCCGTATATAATTCAATCCACTCAGACTACCTGTTTATTGACTGACAGTAAGCCCTGTGTTCAGGCAGTGGAAAAATTGTGCAGAGGAGAGTTCTCAAACAGTCCCCGTGTTACGTCCTTCTTATCTGCCGTTAGCAGATACCAAGTTAGCGTCAGGCATCTCGCTGGGAAGGCTAATATCCCGTCCGACTTTGCGAGTAGAAATGCGCCCGATTGTAATCAGCCTAACTGCCAAATTTGCTTGTTCATAATCAAATTAGAAGAATCCGTCGTCAGATGTGTTAAACCCTCTGATGTACTTGCCGGTAATACCAAGATACCATTTTCATCCCGGTCTGCTTGGATTTCTACTCAGGCTGACAGTCCTGATTTACGCCGCGTTCATGCACATTTATAACAAGGAACTCGACCCTCAAAGAAGATCACTAACCTAAGTGATGTAAAACGTTATCTTAATTCTATTACCATAGCCAAGGATGGACTTTTGGTTGTTAAACATAATGAGCCATTTTATCCGTCATCAGAATTGACATTAGTTCCTAAAGAGGTATTACATGGTTTACTAACAGCTCGTTAGACAAGTTTCGAAGCGCCAGTTTTTCGCTTTAGGAATGGATCAAGCAATAGCAGACGTTACCTCCGATTGTTATGTCTGTACTTCTTTGAAACATTTGCCTGATCATATCTTTAATCCATCAACTAGCGTTCCTCCAGGAACAGTTTCAATATCCTTCGTCGTTCCAAGCAATTTATATTTCTCATAAGGGAGACCACTACGTCACACACCACAACTACTCTTATAGAGAATGAGAAGTCCTCTACATTTCGTGACATTCTTTCTCGTCTATTATTGACCATGAAACCAATTGATGGACCCCCTGTATCAGTTCGAGTTGATCCCGCGCCAGGGTTCACCCCTCTTGTATCAGATCAAACACTACTGAAACTTGGAATCTCACTCGAAGTCGGTAGAATCAAAAACCCTAATAAGAATCCTGTAGCTGAGAGGGCTATCCAAGAATTACAGGATGAGTTATTACGTCAGGAACCTGGTGGTGGTCCTGTTACACCATTGGGATTGTCAATAACTACGGCTCGTATGAATTCAAGAGTCCGGTCTCATGGCTTATCAGCTCATGAACTATGGATCCAAAGAAGTCAAGTGACAAATCAACAGATTCCTATCTCTGATCGCGAAGTAATTCTTTTTCAACATTCTCGACGACTAGCAAATCATCCTTACAGCTTTAGATCGAAGAATCATCGACGTCCCAACACTGTTGCTAAAGTTGGCGATTTAGTTTACCTTACCTGTGATGGCATCAAAGACAAAGGTTGTGAACGATACATCGTCACATCAACTGATGACAATTGGTTTTACATCCGTAAATTCCTTGGCGCTCAATTACGATCGTCCATGCCACCTAGACGTTCATACCACAATGATTCTAGTGAAGTAAGCGTGTACGAAGATACGGATCATGATATACGCCTTACCGATGCCGACCAGGTGTCAAAAGATGCTGCTCCAAGTCAAGATCAATCTCTTCTTGTCGAAGAGCCTCCTAAGGTAGATCCCCCGATACCTCCAGATATTCCAGAGCTACTGAGTCAACCAGTTGAAGACGCTGATACAGCTGCTGTCATTCCTTCTTCGGATCCGTTGTCATCTCTCCCTACCCGACCCAAACGCATAGTAAAGCGGCCTGCTTATTTGAATGACTATCAGTGTGATTAAAAGCAAAGTTATGCTAAATGTTTTTTGTTTTTCAAATAATAATTTGCTTTGTTATGTACCTTTGACAGTTCGTCAATCTCGGTGCCTTACTTTATGTACCATTTTAGTTATATTTAATGAAAAGAGAAGTTGCGCCAGTAGGTTACCTCACTTGACTCACCGTTTGTGTACATCTACAATATTAGTGGTCAAAGTCCAACAAAGGGAAGTAAGTTATTATTAACTTCCCGTTCTTCTCTGGGTTTATCGTTTGTTATTATTTGTTTATTAAAACCATTCTCCACCAGTATTTGTGCTTTAATGGTATTGTGCTCCAGACTGGCGCAGTGTTCCCGATACTAATGATTTTTTTAGAAAACCTCTTTACAACCCCTTTATTTATAAGTTCTACATCTGGTTAATTGATTTAAACTTAATAGTCTTTGTATCTCTGTAGTTATCAAATGATTCTATTCTAATTTATTTTGTAGTTTTTTCTACAACAGCTTCTATGATCGATTCTTCTCTACTCGGTAAATGCAGTTATGTGTTTATACTGACGATTTACAACCTACAACATAATGTTTTAATGTAATAAGCTACATTGACTGCCATTTTAGAAGTAATAAATCTGCGTTCTTTTCTCAACGTTCTGCTACAATGAGGTTATTAGATGTAAATGCAGTGTATATATTCAACTATAATCTTTACATCTAAATACTCGTCCATTTTTTAAAGGGAAGTATAAAACAAATTATGTGTTTACTTTGCTTAATCTGTAAATTTTCTTAACCGAATTTACTGGCATTTTTGACATTAGCAAAATTTAACTTTCAGATGCGCTAAGGAACACATTTTTCTAGATTTTAGTGTATAAATTTGAGCAAACAAAATTACGATCTACTAAAAACTACTTAATACTCCTTTAAACTTAATAGTCTTTCTTTGTAGTTATCTAATAATTTTTTTCTAATTTGTAAATACTTCTATAACAACTTCTATGAGTGATTCTACTCCACACGGTAAATCAAGTTTTATATTTATACTGACGATTTACAGATTTGCAACCTTTTATTTAATGTAATAATGTAATAAGCTACATTGACTGCAATTTTAGAAGTAATAAATCTACGTTTTTTTTATAAGCCCACATCTCTCTATGTGGACGTATATTGTCGGTACCTCTGTCCGTCCGTCCTCTTTCCGTCCGTCCGCTTGTAAACGCTCTAAAAACTAGATGTTTTGATGGAATCAAATGAAATTCGGTTTGTGTATACATATTCATAAAACGAAGATCAAGTTCGAATTTGAGCTATGTTCAGCGGTTAAAAGCAGAGTTATTGCCATTGCCCCAAAATCTTGAATATTTACCATCCGCATGCCGTGGTGGGCGTATATGGCTGTGGTCCACTATCTTTTCTCATCGTTCTGCTACAATGAGGATATTAGATTTAAATGCAGTTATACATTTAACTATACTCTTTACATTTAAATATTTTTTAAAGGGGAAGTATGAGAAACTTTAATTATCAAAAACTTCGTAAATTATACCAGAAAGAATTTCTAAAATATGTTATGTATATCTTTGTATCTTCTTGATCAACCCGAGTTTGTTTTAAAAGGGTTAATGACAAAAGAGCACTAAACGTTATCTAAGCAGTTTGACCTAGTTTTAGTGTTTATTTTTTTAATAGCCCGATATAATTAGTAGAAATATTCAGAATAAGTAGACGACCTATTTCTCTACAACTAGGCGTTTACTTTGCTTAAATCTGTAAATTTTCTTAACCGTATTTCAAAAGTATACTGGCCTTTTTGGCGTTAGCAAAATTTAACTCTCAGATACGCTAATGAACACATTTCTGTAGATTTTAGTGTATACATTTGAGCAAACAAAATTACGATCTACTAAAAACTATTTAATACTCCATTTAAACTTAATAGTCTTTCTTGGTAGTTTTCAAATAATTTTATTCTAATTTGTAGATACTTCTATAACAGCTTCTATGATCGATTCTACTCCACACGGTAAATACAGTTTTATATTTATACTGACGATTTACAGATTATAACTTAATGTAATAATGTAATAAGCGACATTGATTACAATTTTAGAAGTAATAAATCTATGTCCAATATCGTTTAGCTACAATGAGATTTTTTCAGATGTAAATGTATTTATTTAACTATAATCTTTATATCTAGTCCATTGATTTAAACCTGATAGTCCCGTGTCGCTGTTGTTATCAAATATTTCTATTTTAATTTGTAAATAATTCTACAACAGATTTTATGAGATATTCTACATCACACGGTAAATAAAGTTTTATACTGACAGATTACAACTTAATGTAATAATGTTATAACCAACATTGACTACCATTTTAGAAGTAATAAATCTTATGTTCTTTTCTCACCGTTCTGCTACAATGAGGTTATTAGATGTAAATTATTGTAATTATTTAAAGGAATTGAAAAGATGTATTCTAAAAATAATTTATGTGTATCGTGGATACCTACATTATCAATTTGCACCATTCAAATTTTCAATTAGACGTCAGTGGTTCCTGTAATTTCTCAAAAACTAAGTGTTTGATGACCTCACTAATCGCGAAGGGCTTTATGTGATATAGTATCTTTTTGGATTAGTGACGTCATCGAACACTGTCGTATGATTGAGCATTAAAAATTGGAGCGGTTCCATCAGTGTCCCCGATACACATATTTATACGCCCACATGAAATTGGACAAGGGGGGGGGGGCGTATATTGTCCTCACCCATGTCCGTCAGTCCGTCCGTCCGTCCACAATTTGCAATTCCTGACGGAGGTTTGACGAAACTTCGTGTGGGTCTTTGAAACCCTATTGAAAATCAGAAGAATCGAAAAATATT